TTTTCTATTATATTGTTTTTATCAAAAATTAGCACCATCGTACGTATATTTCTAAAAGCCATCCTTCCGCCGATGATTGATTAATTTTTAACACACACAACCGTAACTTATATCAGATTCATTCATAATTATGTTAACTTCTTCTATTGTTATTATACTTACTTTATACAGCTTATCAACACAGATCAACACACATATCCAGTTAGCAAGCTGTAAAAGCGTGCTAACTGGATATGTGTGTTGATGAGCTATAGCTAAGATGGAAAGTGAGCATCGCCGCCCATGAACGTCTACAACTTTTCTTGCAATCTTGCAACTGCAACGTTGGCCTTTTAGGAAGGAGTACGCTCTTTTCTTGAAGGTTTGAAGGTCGTATCGGTCCTGATATACCGCAGACGATAACCCAGAGTAGAAAAAAAAAAGAAAATATAATATTTATTTTTATATTTATAATATTTATTTATAATATTTTATAACCTATACACATCAGTATTCATATGTGAAGAGAACACAGCAGCAGCATTAACGTGATATTTGGAATAATTAAGTCTATGTAGTTTTGGACTTACTACGTCAAATTATACGTGTCAAGTTCAGTCTAATGTCTATAGTTCCAGTCACCTCTTTAGTTTAATAAAATTACCAGCAGTTAAGTTATACAACTGGTGTAGTGGTCTACAATAAAATCTTTTTAAAATATGGCTACACATTTCTGTACCACGTAGTACATCAATCAATCAATTGCTAACAATAAATATCTATAATATTTTGTCAGTGAACACTTAGCGTAAATGTTGATATCCCCTCGGTTCAAACAATCTTCTTCCGCTAGTCAAACGAAGTGACTATAAAAATAAATGGAACCCCTTCACTCGCAGTTAATCCTATTGAAATTTACTTACAAACGGACCAACTGAATGTTGATGCTATTGTGGATGGAACTCTAAAATAAGCAGATATTATTCATTTTTTGTAGTTTTATAATTATATATTATTATGGTAGATATTGAAATAAATTAGATTTTTTCTTGACTTAATGTGCGATACAGAACATTATGGTTTCTTGTGTTTAATTGAATAAGTTTAAACGTTAATTCAATATAACCAAGACAAATTAGTTCTCGAATCTAAGCCTTCGAATAGGATAGGCCCGAGTTTATCAGCTACCAACATTTGTAGTACTGTTTGTTGTGAGAGCTCTAGGGAAATACCCAATAAACCCCTGGCAGCTCTTTGTTTCTGAACTCACTTGTGATATTACTAGCTTTAAAAGAGATTGTACGTCCATGCTGATATTATGCGCTCAGCTTCAGGTCGCAAGCTTATTTGATAATTTAGTTTATTTAAATAGTAAATATAAGGTACTCTAAAAACCTTTTACGTTTCTTTCATACGTCCTTAAATATGAATTCCTTAACGTGTCGCTACCCAAATTCCTTCGATGCCGCTCTAAATCCATACATTTGGCAAATTTATTATGAATCATCTAGCAAAGAAAACTCGTTCCTATGTTGCACTATGAAGACCTTATGGATTGCCTATACACCTATCTTGAGATTGAATGTTACCATTCGTAATAAATTCAACGAATTGTATTTGATTTCGTCTTCCTTATTTTTTTATAATTCCCCATTAAACTACCCATCTATTGATTATTTTCACCGAAAGGCTATCGGAAGTGATTGGTTATTGAATACCAACCACCCAAACCATCACCATGAGGAGATATGTAGAAAGAAACTCTAGACTAACTGTTATTGTAAGTATCATCATCAAATAATCATCAAGCCGGATTCAACCTTATAATAATAAAATATAATTTTCAGAAACGATTTTAACTAAAACTGTTGTACTCTATTCTGTAAAAAATGTGTAACAACTATTCACACTTCTAAAGTTTACAAGAAAAAAAAATCTTGACAAACTAAACACGTTGTCCATCTCTATCAATTTAACAAATCAAGTTAAGAGTCGGCTTTCATTCACAATTCAGAAAGAGGTCGACGCCACCACTGATAAAGCAATAGTGACGCGCCAATCGACGCATCCTGTCCAATTGTGCACACGCATGCAAAACGACGCCACACACATAAATACACATTGTAGCTCGGCTCCTATTGGTGTTAGCGTGATTTTGTATAGCCCATAGAATTCCTTGATAAATTAGCTATTCAACAGAAAAAAAGAATGTTCAAAAACAATTGTTTCTGAGATTAGCGCGTTCAACCAAATAAACAAAAAAGTATAGATACATATATATCATCTGCGGATGCGGATGGATGAGGATTGCCCAAGACCAGGACAGTTAGCGCTTTGTGGGGAGGCCTTCGTTTGTCAGTGGACGGCGATCGGCTGATGATGATGTATATCATTCATCAATATTATCTTTCTGTGCCTTTCTTGTTTCTTTTTTGGTGTTTGTAAGAGCAGTGCTTTTCATATAACATTGTAAACACTTTTGGTTGCTTTACGAGTATTTCATAGCCGACTGCCGCCAACCCTCCTTCGAAATTTAATCAGGGATACTACAGGCTGGGCTGGGAACGGGACAAAAGCTGCAGTAGTCGGAAGAGGCTAATTTGATGTTCTAAATTTTTAAGTCAAAATTCAACTTAAAAATGAGTTGAAACAATTAGTGAATATTTACTTAGGATGTGGGAACGTATGTTACCTATAACCTATTGTTGCGATGGATCTGTATATTTTGGTATTTATAACTTCAGTTTTAATTATGTAATGATGAAGAAGTATTATTGCAGAACGTAATATCCATGGTCAATAAACTGTCTTCTGTATATCTTAACCTTCTGTAATCTTTTCTGCAAATCCGAAAAAGATTAAGAAGAAATGCGCCTGTAGTTACTTTAACTTGAATTGTGTATGCTTTGCTTTATGTATTGCTGACTTGTCTATGGTCCAACAAAGGCTTATATGAAAGTGCAAAGTCTGTTACGAAAGCGGCAGTTTGCCTACTACTACTATTACTCTATAATGGGTTCAAATCTTATTCAAAATCACTGATATACACGTCACAGCACAAATTAGCTTTTATAAGTTACCCCCCTTTTGTTTTACTCTGTTGTGTTTACAGATATTAATCTGTAATCCACTATATCACATATTCCTTCCTCATTACGCCATTGCATGTAACACATGTCATATAAATTACGAAACTGGTATCACACAGTCATTGCTACAATTAGTACAGCTCCCTCCGTCCTGCCAAGTTAGTTGACCCCGTATCGTGTTGTATAAATTACGTGAAGCGCTAATGGGAAAAATATCAGGACATACATTGAGAATGAATAGAGAAATAAAGTATATCATGTCTGTAATTTAATGAAAGCAGGCAATAATTATTTTCCGTTTTAATAAGTTTGTATCTTGAATCTTTCTGCTAAGAAAACCTTATTGTAAATTCTCGGCTCCTAAGGGTTGTAGTTTCCCTCAAAAAGATTTGGCCTATCAAATGCAAAAGATTTTTTATTTTATTATATTTTCAGAGATCGCTTTCAAGCAAAAAAAATATTATTGTTCAGTTTCAATTATAGTAGAGATCATCCATGTGCTCACAGTACGTACGCTCACAGGGCGTATAGTAGTGGTCTTAAACGATGACATTTTAATTTTATAGATACTTTACATATTCAAATTATTTTCATATTCATAAATATTGACCTTTTAAAATAATATCTGCTAACATTAAACAATAATAATTTGTTGTAGTCTTATGCTGTTGTCTATAAGCTGGCACCATGTGATGTAAATGGAGTCATCTTTCTAAGGTCGTAGACTTTGTAATTTACCATTTATTATTTTTGTTATTCACTATAAAATATAAAAGATAAGATGTTTTCTAATTAAAAGAAAAGTGTATTTCTGATAACACCCTGTTACTTAAGGCATACTGAAAATTTCTGGATTCGGATAAATAAGACTAGATATAAGACTTACAATAGGTACATTTATTGATTTTCAAAGTACATTTTATTCCCTCGCAATTAAGGCATTTTTGCATTCGCTGCCGATTCAGGGCTCGTAAAACTTATGTCTCTAAGTTTGTCTTTAACTTTTAGAAACAAAAAGAAGTCGCAGGGTGCGAGGTTCGGACTTTGACTTTGTGACCGGAAGGTTTTTGTTACCTTAGCGGTGAAGTAGGACATTGCTTCGAGGACGTCGAAAAAACAAGCAACCATTTCTTTACCAATTCGACTTTTCTTAACTTTCGTCGGCAACTATTCAAAAGGAAAGACCCACTCTGCCGACTGGCTTTTTCATTCAGGTTCAAAGCAAAAACCCAGATTTCGTCACCTGACACGATATTAAAGTCATCCAATGAGTGTCCTCCGTTAAACTCGCAGTCGTTTTTGGCCCTCCGTTAAGTCATGCGGTGTCTCTCGAGTGCAAAGCTTCCGAACCTTCAGATGTAAAATGTTTTGGACTTAGCTCTTTCCAATGCCTAACAAAGCATGAATTTGCTGGCAAGTTTTTTTTTGTGTAAGTTGTAGTACGGTGTCAATATTAGGTCTATGACCGCAGTCGCCGGCCGACCTTCACGTACCTCGTCATGGAGATGATCAAAATGCTTCATCAATTGATTTCTCTGGCAACTCTCTTGTTGACTTATACCAATCAAAAATAAATTGATATAACGAAAATCATAAAAAAATCATTGAATGAAAATGTTCACGAGATAAATTCATTTTGATAGCGACACAATTTTCGAAAGGACGTCACAATGAAAAAACAAATGACAGTCTCGAAAATTAAAAAGTAACATGTTCCTAAAGAGTTCTATTTTCAAATTCCATAATTGTTTTTTCATTCTTTTATTGTAAGTGGCCAAAACCAGAAAATTTCAGTATGTCTGACTAAGAGTATATTCATTTTGTTGATATATATCTAAGCCAGTAATTTATTACATGTTTATAGAAATTGGCAGTTCTCAAAATGGGGCATCAGCACTGAAGCAAGATGGATCGGGATCACTTATAGGTACAATGTCGGTTATCGTGAAAAGGACTATAAGAGGTGAAGCATGGTGCGTGGTGGTTTTATCTGTTATCGCAATGGTCATTCTAGAAGTCACCGCACTAAATGGACCAAATGTCTGCATGGTGAAACAGAAGTAAGTAGTTTTTACTGTTTCTAGTTTTAATTGAAACGGTGATATGTCTAACTTTATGTATTTTATAAAAATCACGTTCATACTTGTAGCAATTTCTTTCATGAGAAGTTAACATGTCTCTATGTCGTTAAATAACATAATTTAGTGGAATGCTAGTTATATTTAATCCGTGTAGTTGTAGTTTTTTTAAAACGTTAAAACGGCAGATAATTTATAAGTGAAAACAAAAGAACTTACTCAATCTCATTTTCTAAGTTTGGTATTTTATAAATGGTAATTGTTATAAGACGGGAAACACTCAGCTCGCCTTGATTTGTAATAAGTGTTCTAATTACAGTAGTACCACACAGTGTCTATGAGTCATTGAAGTACGTCGGCTACCTATAGCCTTGAGATTCGGCCTCAGAACTTTATATCTTTTACCAAATATATACTAACACACCAGTCCTATTACCTTTTTTCTAAGTATTTCTATATTTGCACTGTTTTTAAGCAACTTTAAAATTCAAGAGACAAAAAAATATTTTAATTGATCCTTGAATTTCAAAAACACCACTCCCAAAGACAATATGATAAAAATTCGTGTAGTAATCATACGGTCTAAAACTCTAAAAACATTGCGCAGACACAGTAACTAATTTTTTTTTCTAATGTCCAAGGGCATCCTTGATGACTAACTCTTACAAAAGGACCATTATCCTAATACTATTATATTATTCTTACATAATCTTTTTACAGGTACAATATAACGAAGAGAGTGAAGTACCGAGCTCCGATGTCTGTCAGAACTTATGAATGGTGCTTCTCCATGCCACCGAGATGCTCGAAGTGGAACACAGAGATGAGAGACTTAACAAGACTTGAGGTACATTTTTATTGCTTTCCAAACTTACTTCTTAAATAACTAATACTAAAGTAATGGTAGCTCTATGTCTAACAAGTGGTAGTTTTTTTTTATGAACGGGGGGCAAACGAGCAGGCCGGTCATCTGATGGAAAGTGACTACCGCCGACCATGAACGCTTGCAACTCAGGAGTCCCAAGCGCGTTGCCGGCCGCTATGCTCTTTTCTAGGGTGTCTTGAATAGCGCATAGTGGTTGTAAGCTGAAAACAAAACCCAGTACCGACTAGATGATGTGAACCCATGCCTGACATATGCACTTAGTTTTGCTCTAGGGGTTAACAAAAACACAAACGCGAATAGTACCTAATTACTTTAATACAACCGGAATTGGGCGTTTTTTATATAAGTCAGAAAGTTCCTAATAAGAATGTTTCAATTTGCTTAATTTTTTTTTTCCAAAACAATTGTTTATAATGTTATAATCAAATAATTATAGATTGTTTTTTTTTAAATTGAATAATGTTGATAACATGCCTTGTTTTGATTAGTAAATTCAAGAATATAAAATTTATAAGCAGATCTTGATTCTATTTTTATTAAGATATCTTTTTACTAAAAAAAAATATTTTGCATAAATTATACCCACGCGTATACATATATTCTCCTTTCAAAGAGCCTCAAATCTTTCATGTTGTGTAAAAAATATCTTCTTAAAAATACATTTTTGTTTCATGCAACAGCTAACTTTGGATTGCAAATCAATTAGATTACCATTGTTTATTATTAATGCATATTTTAATAAGAACACTATCATATTTGATATTAACTGACTTCTTTAGTTTATCCTTGAGTAAAGATCGATTGTGACAATCACCAACCTTAATTATAAAACCTCATAAAACCCTAGACTCAGAACTAAAAGTTCTATACGCATTTTGCACGTTTTTATACGTTTTTATAGCATTATTAATCAGACTTTAAATGGAGACTTGCTAAGAATATTCACCAAAATCTTAAAACTAACAAACAGACGAGCCGCTCATTGTTAACACTCTCGGTTCTTATTTATACGAATATATCGGTAGGAATGCTCTTTTGTTCACATTTTGACATGCCCATACGTATTTTTTCTGAAGTGTTATAGTACCGCAAACGTCGTTAGATAAAATTTTACAATTATTTAGATACCATGTCACTCTTCATCGTGAACTAAATTTAAGCAAATTGTCTAATTTGACAAAACTTTACCTGTGCTTAAGCGATTTGTTGGAAATTTATACCATAAATATGAACCCCACTATCGTGCAAAATAGTTAAGCAGGTATCTTAGGACATTAGGTAGGTAGGTACTTTACTCTGTTTTATCATTTCATCTGTAGTCACGTTAGATTTTTCGTATCCTGCTTTTTTCATTTTACACACTATTAAAAAAAAAGTGTAGGTAATTAATGATTTTACTTTTGTTATTATATATCATTATGAATGCATACACAAATAGAGAGGTCATTTTAAAGTTTAATGGAAAAAATAAGAAGATATTTAAACTTTTAGTCTCGGGTCCAAGTCTTTTACGATTAAAATAAATTTATGTTACTTAAAAACACCATCTATATGAACCATGTATCTATTTTGTTTAGGTGTTTTTTTTTATGGTTTCAGACAGAAGAACGAACTGCAGAAGTAGCAGTATGCTGTCCAGGTTACAAAATGAGAGATGTTTCTTGCGTACCAATCTGTCCTAATGGAAAGACAGGCCGCGGGTGTTTAGAAGGTAACTCCTGCATAGTGCTTTCACATGTTTTCTTCAAGAGAAACTGACCTGAAATGGACAAACTGTTACAAGGAAATGAATACAGCTACCTTAACAATTTGCCTGACATCGCCTGGTGGTCTGATTTCTACAAGAATTTGTTGAACTTTAAATTTCTTTTTTTCTTTTATTTACGTATAATCCATTGTAAGGTGAACTGTTATTTACTTACCGTGCTATGACGGTTTAATGTGGATGTTTAAGTGATATACTAGACAGATGTAGATTTTTGTTGACTGTGAGATTTATGTATGTATTTTTACACCACAAGTTCTATTGAACCGATCATCATAAGAATTTTGACACACGTTGCTAGATACACAGATAAGGACAAATGTAACGTAACGGCTAGTTCAAGTTACAGGCACGCTAACCCGACCTGATCGAGTTATTACTTACATTCCTCAACCCATGCACATAGGCAATATTCATTTCCTACCATTGCCTTCTCATCTCACCTACCTTTTACATTCAATTTGCTCCCAATTTGCCCAACGGATTCCTAGAGTACTCAGTTGACGGCACTAGGCTTGCCCCCATTAAGTAAGTGGAACTAGAATTAGAGTCTTTAAAATATAAGCATTTTAAATGCTTTTGACTAACCCATCTGGGAAATAAGCGATGACTATGAAAAAGGAAAAAGGACCAAAATAAACTAACTTTACGTATGTGAAGCCAGGAATCAAAGCTTACACACTACACATTTAAGTTTTTTTGATTTAGATATAGTGAAGAACCTATTTAAAGTTTTACATTTCATCATTGGTGAACTTTGCTCAGTACAAAGAAAAGTTTCATGATAAAAATAGTTCAGCCAAAAATGTAGATCATGTAAATCTAAGTGTAAATCTAATCATGTAGATCATGAAATGTAGATCTAAAATTTACTAAAGCTGTGTGCACCAAAATATGCTTGACTACGCTGCCTAAAATTTTTTCCACACATGGGATCGATGGGAACTTTTCACAATTTCATTTAATGAAATTCATAATGAACATTACGTTCATGCAAAAATTCAGCTTCTTGGAAATTTATGCTATATAGTTATTAAAAAAGTTCAAAAAACTTATCTGGAAACTGACACAACATTGACTTTTAACTTTTATCAAGAACATTTTTTTTCAGATTGTCCAGATAACAAATGGGGACCAAACTGCATCCACGAATGCCAAAGATGTAAGAACGGTTTTTGTTCACCCATAACCGGTGAATGCGAGTGTCTGGATGGATGGCAAGGTGAGAGGTGGGTTACCACTTTATTCTACTCAATTGTCTTGGAATAAAAGAAAGACTTCACAACTTTTAATAATTAACTTATGATTCAAAGGCGATAATACAAACATCCTTTTAATTTTACAGTTGCGACACAAGCATGCCACCCACGATTTCAACTACATCATTAGAAGAATTACTAACAACACTCACTACTAAAACTTCAACCTTTAAAACAACACCTAAAATGACAACTACTAGCACAGTTGCTAGTACAGTTGCTAGTGCTGTTGCTAAGACAGTTACAGTTGCTGATGCTCCTACTGTATTAGTAACCATTCCAACATCAATTAAATTGGACAAAATATCAACCAGTCCGTCAACAACTAAGCTAACAGCACCACAAGCAACTGTTGCTAGTACGTCAACAACAACCACTATGGCCACCACAACAGTAACCAGCACTACAGGAATGTTGATTACCACAGAGAGAAAAGTTGAAATGACAAAACCTACGGTTGCGACAACAGAAATAACTAAATTACCTACAACATCCAACATTACGAAGTTAATCATGACCAGCACATTGAAAAGCAGTGCTGCTGCTGAGGATATTAAAGCGCAGATATTCTTTAAACCCCTTAGTACTACTACAGAAGCAACAGATGTTAATAAATTAACAGAGCCCCGAATAGCAATAAAAGTTATACAAAATATGAACAAGGAACAGGAAGAAGTTGTTACTCTCACAGAAACTCCAAAACCAATAATTACTTCCACATCACAGAAAGAAATTATATACAAAACGGAAACAACTAGAAAAGAAATCATAAGCAAAGGTAATCCCACCACCCCAAAATTTAAACCAAAAGAAATATGGATTCGACCAGCTCAAAAAAGTGAATCTCCTATGGTAGAAACAAAGATAAAAATGAATTACGACATTCCTAGGTACAGAAGCGCTAATAACAGAGAAGTGATGCCAACCAGTACTACTCCGAAGACTATAATTGTCTCTATAATACCTACATCTGTATCTTACTCAACATTTAAAAAGATAGCTTTAACAGCTTCATATTTATCTAGTAAGAATAGTACAACTAAAAAATCATATAATAAAACAGATTATGGCTTAACCACTACACCAATGTTGGCTGTAACACTAAAACCCTTGACAAAATTGCGCACATCAACAAAGAAAGCACTATTTCCTATAGCAAATGATACAAGTACTAAAATACCATTGAGTACGTCTGTAACTTCCAAAGTAACTATAGTTACTCCAGAAACAATGCCTTTGGGAATATTTGCAACTACACTTCCTATTAATAAAACTAACAGCATGGTGACTGAAAATAACAAGGGGACTTCAATTTCTGTAACAGCTACTTCTATTAATATATTGCATACTACACAGAAATGGAATGATTTACTTACAAATTTAACTAATAACTATCTCAAAATTTCGACTACAATACATCCTACAACAGAAAGAACTACACAACATTTTGAGAAACAAGCAACCTTTCGAAAAAATGAGAATACTTCTTCCGTAACAAAACAATATAAAACGACTAATCTTCCAAAAGTTTTTGAAAAAAATATTACAACGGTAAATGCTACTAATAATCACATCAAAGTGACTACCGATGATCCTATAGATGATGAAGAATTTCATATTTTGACAGAGCCTGAACATATAACTGCAGTCATGGGAGACAAAGGTACTGAGAGATCATCTGTTGACTTGATATCAGTGATAAGTATAGCAGGAGGGGTAATGATGGCTGTCATCACAGTGGCAGTAGTTATTGTAATGATAGAAAGGTGCAAGAAGCCAAGGTATGAGGATGTGAGAAAAATTAATGATATAAGAATGCAAGTGATGATTGATAACAATGATGTACCGCCGCCTTATGTGAGGAGCATCTTTCATACACCACTTCCTGGTAAGAAACAAACAGTTAATACAGAAGGAAAAACTACTAATATTCATTAGTAGTTTTTCCTTCTGTATTATTATTATTATTTTAGTTGTAACTTCTATTCTTCATGACTTCTGGGGTAACGTTTAGAAATACTTGCCTCTTGATCAGTAGGTAATAGTAAGATTTATATTATTATGTTTTTAATGAGCAAAATCAACTTAAATTTTCTATTGCATGTTGAAGAATGTCCTTACCTGTCCATGTAGTGACGGAATTAGAATACAGAGTGTACCAACACTTCCTTTTTTCTGTGTGGAAAGCCCCTCGGATACCACCCACTGGTGGGGTTTTTATGTTGGACTCGAACGACCAAAAACCTCACCAGTTGCCTTGGAACCAGGTGTACCCCAGAAAGGAAATCCCTGTTACCCCAACGTACCTCGGGCCATCTACGGCGTGTAGATGACTCCTTAGTGTGTGGAACCTCCATGTCGGCTTTGTGCTCCCGAAAGATCGCGCGCGCTCCACAGCATGTCTCGCCACCACCACAGCCTGCTACTGCTAGGGTGACACGATGGCCTGACCTGCCACCCCCAGGTCTACGCTTATGGAGGACGGAGGTCGTTCTGCGCCCTCCGACGACTGAGTCGCCGGCGGTACCTGGCCCGATACCGGGCCTGGCGGGACGGGAGAGGTTTAAAACTCTCCCGACAGGCCACCACCCCTTTTCATCCCGTAGGCGTCGTAAGAACCGACTTAAGGAGAAAACCAAGGGAAAAAATAACAGCACTAGCAAGAGAAGGCAAACTCAAAACAAACCATATACGAAGTGGTCTATCCAACGTGGTAAAACCTCATTTCAGGGGAGAGGCATATGTCCAGCAGTGGACTATTAAAGGCTGTTGATGATGACGATGATGATAAAGTTGAGGGATATACGAGAAAAAAATATTTTTAATTTAGTTACAAAATAAGACATCAAGGTCACTGGGGTACACAAAATTAGTTATTTAACTAAGTTTTGTAGGTATCATGATAGTTCACAGATTTTTTATTTTTGGTATTTTTAATTTCACAGAGCCACCTGCATCTGAAAAATGTCACTACCAACCAATATCAACATTAGACAGAAATTTAAAACAATTCATGAGACCAGTCGTCGTACAAACGATATCACCTATAATGCTGGAAAATTTCAGAGGTCAATAAAATTTATTTTCATGTTTTTATGTAATTGTCTGGAGCGCACCAGAAATTATTATATGTATCCCTACTACAGATTATATTATTCAGCTATTTAAATTGCAGGAATTTTAGAATGTCACTATGATCATTTGCCAAGGAGGAGCAATGATTTCGGAACGATACAAACTCAGTCATCAGCAGCGCCATCTATAAATGATTGTAATGAACTACGACAGCTGCGAGCTAGTGTAACTGAGTCTGCAATAGAAGCAATGAAGTGTGAAGCTAAACTTGATGTAATAGATAGCACCACTTCTGAGCCTTTATATGCCGAAATTCCTTGTTGGAGACCTCCATCAGAATATGCAATTGAAATTCTAAATATGAATGGAGAAGCGGTAACTGAATTATGACCTCATTTTTCTATTTATTAAATGTAATAGCTTGAACGAGCTTCTATTATGATGTAATAGATGGCAGTGTATAAAGTTATAATCACAAAAGTTTGTGTGAAAAATTAAAGTAATTAATACAATTAATAAAAATACCAATGTTAAATAAAATTGTTTTTTTTTCTGTACTTGTAACTTAAAAGCATTGATTAAGATTTGATTCTGAAGATAAACTTTTCCGAAATACGTCGGTCGCCGCGAATAGGTACTTGTCTTGGGTCAACGTATTTAACCAACAGTTGTACTCTACGATTTTTGAAGTTCAAGTGCAATAGTCGCAACATGGCGGGTTTATCCAACGAACGTGGCCACCATCTTCTTTGAAGTGCGTCGAGAACGAACAACTTTAGTCGGCTTTGGTTCGTCTTGAAAGACTCAGATTGTAGATTGTTGTTTGGAATCAGGATTGTAGGCACAGATCCAAGATTCGTCACCACTGATGATGTCATAGACGTGATTTGACTCACTTCGGTTGCACCTTTGTAGAGTTTTCTTACACCATCTGACGCGGGCCGCCTTGTGATCGTCGGAAAGCAGATGCGGTATCAAACGTCAAACTAGCTTTCTCACACCAAAAGCTTCATGCAAGATCTTCTGAATGATTGTCCCTGAGATGCCTAATAGAGCCTCTATCTCTCGATACGTCACATGACGATCTTCGAGAATTAGTTGTCTCACAGCAATGATGTTTTCTTCAGTGAAGGCGGATTTTGGGCGTCCTTCGCGGGATTTGTCACTAACACTAGTATGTCCACGCTGGAATTCTAAATACCAGCGTTCGTTAGTCCGCAGACATGGGGCTTTATCACTGAACATAGATGTTAACTCTTCAAAACACTGAAACCGTGTCAGGCCTCTTCTAAAGTTGTAGAAAATTATTGCACGAACATTTGCCTTAATAAGATTCATTTTCGTACGTAACCTGACAGATACCAATCGACGCTGTGACTAAACAATAGCATTAATCCTAATACTTTCAACTGTTTTGAGATTCAAAATTTAAACACATTTGAATATAGAACATTTAAATATAGTTCCAAATTCAAAATTGCCGGGAAATTCAAAATATGGAAACGACAGAACTTAAAAGCCATGCCTAGTAGGTCAATTTACTTAGCTAGCAAATATGATTGAGCTTAATACTCGTATACATTTGTGGTTCACAACGTAGATACATCAATGTACTTCGCCGTGACTGAGTGCCAGAACATAATATTATTTTCTTATATGTATTTCGGGCAAGTCCAATTTGTTTTCGGTTTAGACGAGAGATTTCTATCTACGAGTAAGTAATACCTTCCAAATACACACGTGAGTCAGGCCACATGTTTTTAATAAATCATCATCAACAGCCTTTAATAGTCCACTGCTCAACTTAGGCCTCTCCTTAGAAACGAGGTTTTTAATAAATGTCGTAAAAAAACATAATTTTCTCAATATGCCACGATTCCATAAAAAAATGAAATAGTTGTCATACACAATTTCTGTTATTGAATCGTATCGCACAGGGATTTTCAGGGAATCCGCGGGGTCACATACCCCTTCGTTTACCTATTATAAAATGCCCGTGGAGAAAGTCAACTTAAAAAGTAAGCATCTATGCATCAATGCGCCAATCTCATAGTGGCATCAGACTGCCCAATGCTTCAAAAATTGCACATGATATAGCACAGGTATGTTTTAGAAACATAGATCAAAGTCTACTTTTATGTAAATATTATATTGATTACTGTAAATAGAATTAAAAAGAAGAACTTTTAGGGGTCCACCAAAGAAGAAAATTATTAGTAAACGCTAGCGTAGACGATAACACTATCAAGGTCAAAGTGCGTGGGTAATACGACTATCAAACAACATCCTACGTGCCGCAATGAGTCAAATATAACGATGATTAATATACATTAAGTCAATATCTCAGTTTAGTCTCTTAACATACATCAACAATGCAATTAAAATTATTTCTTGTTATGCTACTTGTGAATATAGGTAGGTACCTATCTATACTTACGAATATTTTTTTGTTTATTATTTATACTTTTTAGTTCGGATTCCTAATAAAGCATACTTGGTGTGATTTTAAAATTGCCTCGGGCTATAGGCTTGTATTTTTTTCGATCATTGCTGATCATTGCTACTTTTGCAAATTTCAAATAAACCAGACGTCTCTTGTCGTTGGTCGACAAAATCTGTGTTCATAAATTCCGTAATAAAGATTAATAGATATGGATCCAGTGTCTAAAAGGGCGTAGGCGACTGCCGACAAAATCTGGCTGTTCAATTACAAAATCAAAGTGAGTATCAAGTAACTAGCGCTTACATGTGAGCTCCACCCAAGTTTCTATTCACTGGCTTCTTAAGAACAAAACGGAAGTAATACTTACGAGTACTTATCCCCCGTGAATAAAATAACAATTGCATAGAATTTCTCTGCACAGAATTTAAGTATCTCATACTGTGGTAACGACTTTGAAGCTTTGATTCAAGAAGAACCTTACTTAGACAGATATTGAAATAAGAAATAATAATCACCCTATGAATATTAGAAGCGTCTAAGTTTTTGAACGAGAAAAGTATTTTTAACAGTATAAGACAAAATATATACTTGTAATGGAAATTGAAATAAGCATTGGTTATAGTTAAGGAAAAAACTTACATAAAAAAACTACACCCGCAAGACATTCATACGTACCAACATACTTACATATCGTATAGTCAGCATGATTAGAATCCAAGGCCCATAAATAATGCTGAGCTTACAAATTAAAATAACCCATCATTTATCTGGATAGAGGTCAATCAGTAGGTTGCATTACTTTGGATAATGTTTTCGAATTAATTTCATGAAAACATTGCAAAACAGATAGCATTATCTCAGCGTTTCCGACTACTGTGCATGACGATATCTTGTCTACTCAGAATTGGGTTCTTTAGTGGGTACCAAAATCCACAAGGGATTTTTACGACATTAGTATTTTGGACTGCCATATCAAGCTATCGCCGTCCACTGCTGGACGAAAGGCCAACTAGCATCCTAGTGTTAAGTTAAGAAGGGAGTACTTAGATATATTATCTTGCATATGACTGTTATTTATATTTGATTTTTAAATAAATTATTTAGTAGTATAAAAAGTGATTTAGCAAAGATTGGAAAAATGCAGGTCAATATCGTTAATAAACGCTCGTATCGCAGAGGATGTGAACTATTTAGATAGGTGCATTTGTTGCGCAGTTCGCGTAGGCCTAGATACACGCGAACTGTGATAGTATAATGTTTTATAAACAGTGCAAATCTGTGGATTGGCTGGGACGATCCCTCCTTTTTTTTTTCCGTGAGGAAATCCCCTCGGATACCACCTGTCGGTGGCATGTCGGACTAAAACTGCACGCCGTCTCGGGTACTAATAGCCGGGGAACCAGGTATACCCTAGAAAGGAAGTCCCTGGTGCCCCGACATACCTCGGACCATCTACAACAACAGGTAGACGACCCCCCCCCGTGTGGGAACCCCATGTTCCCTCTGCTCCCTGGAAGCGAGCGCGCTTCGCACTCGCCGACACCCCGGCCTGCTTCTGCTAGGCCCCCAGGCCTGCACTTATGGAGGACGGAAGTCGTTCTGCGACCTCCGTCGCCTCCGGTACCTGGCCCGTTCCCGGGCCTGGCGGGCCGGGAGAGTCCTAAACCTCTCCCGGTCCCGCTCTGCCATCTCCTACGCGAGCATAACTTGCTCGCAGAAGAAGACGGCAGAGGTCTACGCGCTCTCGCTCCGCACTATAGCCGCAATCAGGCTATCGAGCCAGAGAACTCCCACTCCGATGGTCGCCACGAGGTCTCGCCTCTGCTCAACCCTCGCCGGGCACTCTGCCAGCGTGTGGAGAGCCGTGTCCACGGTCTGGCCATCGCAGTGGTGGCACTCAGGCGTTGGCTCCTTGCGGATCAGACACAGGTGATCCCCGAAACATCCTTTCCCAGTGATCACCTACATCAGTCGGTATGAGAGGGTCCCGTGACGCCTCTCGAGCCAATCCTCCATAACGGGTCTTACCGCCGCGATGACGGCGTGCCCGGGGACGATCTCTCCTAAGAATACGTGAGGTTTGTCCAAGTTCCCCTTTATTTAAAGACAGGATATTGCTGCTGTTGCTTTTAAATTTTTAATCAGATTCAACAAGATAATCTAATGCTTGATACGGAAAGAAGCTATAACCCTACATTTGATATTAATAATAATTTGATTATGTCAGTTTCTCAGAATGGATGTAGAAGTGGGTCCCGTGGCACTAAAGAGCTCCTTATCATAGACATGACCATTAGCCAACAGGTGCGTCGTAATCGTAAGAGTCTGCCGACATGTTGGATAGACTAAAAGAAAGCTTATGACTCGATTTCACACACCTGGCGGGTGCTGGAGTTGTATAATGATACAACTCTGTGCACTTTTTTGCAGTCATGTATGGGCCAATGGAGAACAGCACTTCGCTATCCAGGATGTCGGCAGACTGCGGTAAGCGATGTAATTTTAAGGTGATAGTCTGAGTCCCTTGTGGTTTTGTCTGGCTTTGAACCCTCTTAGCACCCTATTAGAGGGTTCAGGGTTAGGCTATAGGTTGCAGAAAGATGATCAAGTTATATCTCACCTTCTTTATATGGATGATTTGAAATTACTAGCCCCAACTAAATTACAATTGGCAGCATTATTAAAGGTGACGGGAAACTTTAGTAATTCTATCAAAATGGTGTAAACAAGTGAGCAGTCATGTATGTAAAGAAGGACGTGATAGTAGAATCTGAAGGAACCGAGCTTTCAGATTGAACAAAACTCAAATCTCTGTCTGCAACTGAAACTAACAAGTATTCTAACAAGATTCTGATATTCCCAACGACTGTGATATACCCAGATATCACAGTCGTTGGGAATATCAGAATCTGACATGAAACAAACGTTGCAGGAACTCAAAGGTAAATTTTGTTGCTTACAAGTTTTCGCGAAAGTCGAAATTTGCCCTTATCTTCTTGTCGCGTTGACTAAGGACCTTGATTTTTATAGACCTTTGTACCTGTTATAAACCTACGCTAGGTCTACCCGTTCCTGAGAAAATCGGTGCTGAAACACGGACAGACGGACAAGAAAGTGATCTTATAAGGGCTCCTTTTTTAGCTTTTGAGGAACCGGAACCCTAAAAAGAAAAACAGATAAAATATTTGAATTTATCTCACGAATTTGTCCATATGTGGAATGTCGATTCAGTGATCATTGTTCCGATAGTCCTATCTGCTCACGGATTGATAGTCAAGAGCCTCGACCTGTTGGTCGAGGATCTTGGCTATCAATAGGTCAGCCGTCCAACGTGAGCCACTTAAGTTGTTCCTTAAGAGGCTCACGTTGGACGGCTGGATCAAGATAGATATATAGATAGGTACTCTTTATTGCACACCATAGATAGAAAACATACAATGCAATATGAACATAAAATTTAAAAAAAACAGTGGTACAATGGGCGGCCTTATCGCAGTCTGCGATCTCTTACAGGCAACCTTTAGATGGACTATACTGTATAGTGATATGTAGTCTGTGGTGCGCATAATATAGATTTACATAAATACATATTCATACACATACGTACATTTATATACATATACACATACATACATTACATACCTACATATATAACACATAGTTCTTACAGAGATGAATAGTGATCCTTGACGAGTCTCTTAAAAGTACTCACTGACCGTGCCCGCCTTATAGCTTCTGGTAAGGGATTCCAGAGGTGTGCTGCTTGCACTGTAAAAGATGTATCAGTAAAAGTTGTGGAGTGTGTTGGAATTTCTAGTGTAAGATTTTTTGATGATCTCAAGTGTCGTGTATGTGTGTCATGGATAAATGCAAATCGTCTGTTTAAGTAGATAGGAGGTGCAGGATTAAATGACTGCACGGATGGCGTAGTGGTTTAAGCGGTCGCCACGCCGCTTCCTACTACGCCGAGTGTTGTGGGTTCAAACCCCGCATGGGACGACACTTTGTGTGATCCACAAATTGTTGTTCTGAGTCTGGGTGTTCTTTGTGTCCGTTTCATGTATGTTTGTAAAGTCCCCCGCGACACAGGATTTATTCCTAATGCGGGAGTTGTCTTTCCAAAAAAAAAAAAAAAATTTCTTATTTTAACAATATTAATTAAGATGGACTAATTAGAAATGAATTAGTAGTGATATGATGTTCGTTTTAACACATTTTATCAAATTTATTCTTACAGTAACAGAAATTCTATGTAACTGTGGTTTATTTTATAATATCAGTTCTAAATATATTTCAAAACACCCATTAAATATATCGTATGAAATTATTTCATTTCCGAAGAACAGCATTGTTTTAATTTGGATAAAAGGTACACATAAATTCTTCTATGTCCCGCAATGGGCGTCTTTTGGCTAAAGAGATGATGATGGAATTCTTCTGAAAAAGTACTCAAGTACAGTCAAGTACTTAGTAGTACGAGGCGTAAAGTGTAAAAAATAAAGAAAAAGTGCACCAAAAATATCTACAACGGCAAGTTTTTTTGTCGTAATAGAAAATTTGTATTTGTATACTATTGATCCAAAGCGGTTATTTTTGTTGAATTGCTGCTTATTTGTCTTGAATAGTAAATATTCAAGGAAAATATTTTTTTCATACATATATGTACGGAACCTTTAACTCGTATGCTGAACATAAACAGTATGACAGTCAGTACTATTTCTAAATTTTAACATCAGTGTGTTATTAAGTGGAGCCGGAGCAACAAGTGGAATTTGTTTACGTAAGTTTGGTTCGATTATGTCATACTTATAACACAATACTTAGAATTATTCACGGGTTGTCTAAAAAACATTTATGTACTTCTGTTATATTGTTTCCTTAAAGAAGTTTAAAGTCTAAACTTCACCATTATTATTCTGTTATTGTAATGTTACAAAGATTTTATTTTCAGATTATTATATATAGATGTCACATTATTAACATAGGAATCGTTCCGTGTGTATGTTTTCGTATGGGTTAATTGAGGATAAAACTTATCTGTTGATTGAATTTTATCCAAGTCCGTTCAGCAGTTTTACTGAGATTGAGTAATCAATATTGTTATTCCGATAGATTAACGCCCTTCCTCCGTTCCTTAGACAACCTTCGTGTGTTTTCGAAAGATTAAGAAATCTTTCCAAAAAACCGAGCCGAGCCATATTTATAATTTTTTTAAGGTTTTTTCCTTGTACATAGTATAAAGAAGTACATTCATTACTTATTTGAAGAACTAGGTTTACTTTTTTTTAAATACATAATTTTCTTTTTTAGTTTTGAAAAAATACTAAGATACAGTCAACATGTTACCTTAAACAATCAAACAATATTTTCTATTTTTAAATTTTATATCCACCACTAATATCACCAGAACCTTAAATGTAAACAGCAGGCTTATGATGAACGGTCAGCTCGATCGCACGATTCTCCCTTTGTGCTAAGGTTAACTAACATATTCCTCCAAATTCTTAAGAATTACCTAAAAGAATACCCTAAGAATAAACCATAAAGTCTACTAAAAACCCAATTTCTATTTGTATTTTGTTTACCTATTAATCGGACACCATCCCCGACTGAGCGTTAATTATCACCTAATTACTTAACAACCATTAATTTATTTCAAAATTCATTCCTAATTTGTCCAAAACCTGATCTTAATGCCCTGGACATATATAATCAGTTCATTTCATAGTAATTTCATCTTTTTTCAGTTAAAAATGCATTTCTTTCTACTATGCACGATAGTAAGTTGTGCCATCGCAAGTCCACAATATGTTAAGAGTAGATACTCAGGGGTCAAAGGCGGATATAACGGACCAAGTTATCAGCATGGAGAGAATCTCATAGGGTAAACATATAACTTTAATTTTTTTATTCATGAAAAACGGCTGCTAGAATGTGTATTTTGTGTGAATTGTGTTTTGTGTGAATGTGAATTGTGTGTTGTGTGTTTGAATAGAAAAAGTCTAAATTAAATCAGAATATTTTCTGGGTATTCTGCCAAATTCGGTGAAGATCCGTCTTAGTGATTTGAGTTTCCCAAGCCTATGATGCCTTATGTTTCATAGTAATCGTACCAAAAAAAAATATGTATTTTTTGAAACTTATTTTTCTATCACTTTTTTAATTTATTGGAATCATTTACAAATAATAGACTTACTTGCATACAAATCATGTTATACTTTATAAGAAATCCCGTACACTTACTTAACAGATTTGATATAGAACGTTATGGAAATTTTGGGCTGCATAATATTCTATCACACACTCAAATTGGTGTTATCAATAATAAACATTTTTTACCATACTGCAATGGATTTGCAGAACACTACAGCTCTATCAGTAAATAACATATTTAAATGAAACATGGTCAACCAAAATTGAGTGATTTTTATACGCAGATACAACAATACGCAGCCTAATTATCCCGGATACAATGGATACAATAACACGCAGCCAGGTTTTGGCGTATACTACCCAGGTAATAACCTGTTGCAACCCTTTAACTATGAAAAAGGAGTCTGTTATATTGAAGTTCCGTAAGTACCTTAGATTTTAAGTATATCTGTTATAGTTATAGTTAATAAGTCAAGATATATTTTTTCAAAAAAAATCGCAAACAGTAACGTAAAATTTTGAATCCTCAAATTAAAATAGATGAGTACTAGCGACCTGCCCCGGCTTACAGTGCAATGTATACATTTAAACCTTCTTGAAACACTTTCTCTATTGACGAAAACCGCAACAACGCCGTAAGCGTACAAGATGGGGAAGCGACTTCATTTTATTCTACATATGTAAAGATATAGAAGTGTTAAAACGCAAAAGTTTAAATAATACGTTGCGTACGTTATAAATAACTCAAGGTAGTAATAGTTTAATATGTAATGGATAATTAATATATCGAAAATATGTACGAATATATTTGACAGTATTTCTGTGAATATTTTTATATATTAAAAAAAATACAATTCATTTTATATTACAGAACTGCAAGCCTTGCCAAGGATCCTGCTCACGTCCCAGCTGGCAATGGCGTAAGTGTCATCATTTAAACACTTGAATGCCAAGTAGAAATATACTTATTTTCCTTATTATTCAATGATCACGCCACGGATCTGTTAACATGAATATTATTTACATCATCACTTTGTATAAGTACCCGTAGTATTGACCTAAACATCTTTTAAATTTGACCCATCATTAACATATGAGAAACATGAGCATTCACTGTTGGAAATGAGTCTCCGGCTAGACAATAATAACCTGACTTTACATAGTTTTAACGCTGAGGCGATGTTCCGCATACTAATTAGCTATGTACGCTACATCCTTATTTATGAAATGTATGTTTCGGATAGCTTCCCGAAAGGAGCGCGTGTTTAAATTTTTTTACCATCAGCATAATGGTAATATAATTGTTGCCCTTTTTTATTCGAGCTTAAAAAGAATTTAAAACGCTTAAATCTTTTCGAATCAAAAAAGATCGTGTTTTGAACAGATTATATGTATTACCAGTTCTTCAAACATTACTACTTAAAATACATTACCATACATACCTAAAACAATAATTCTTTTTCACAGGACCTTATTTAGACATGATACTCATAAAATCATCTAGCCAATTGATATTGACCTTAGGTTTGTTTTGGTATAGAATGAATTTTAGAAACGTCTTTTACTTTATTAATAAATGGGATCAGTGTATCAGTTAAAAATTTCTTCTTTTCGAAGGATATATGAATAACTAAACAATAATAATAATAATATTTCAAACATCTAACACACAATGCCATCTAGTTTAAACTAAGCAGAGCTTGTACTATGAAAGCTAGATTGAGTAATAGAATACTCATATAACGTTTAAATAACGTATAAATACATACATATATGTATACATACAGATCATACAAACATTTGGTCCGGACCGGGAATCAAACCCGAAACCGCAGCATATCAGTTATCATTAAAATAATAACCCCATAATAAAACAGACAGACCCAAAAAATTGACGCATAGTTTTTTATTTAGAAATAACAATGCACCCATAAATATATATTATAATGGACACCGTTCCTGTTACTATAAATTTCAGTCCCGTGCTGACCTAAGTCGCATTAGAACATGTTGCAAGGGCTACATCAAAAACATACACAACTATAGAATTTGCGACCCGGTGTGTACCAACGAGTGTATTAACGCTCTCTGTACCGAACCCGAGGTTTGCAGCTGCTTCCCACAACACGTGAAAAACTTGGCAGGAATTTGCATACCCACTTGTCCTATTGGCTGTCAAAATGGACAATGTGCTGGAGGTGAATGCATCTGCAAGGATGGGTACAGATTAGACTCTGAAAGCAAGTTTTGTATTCCCGTTTGCAGAGAAAATTGTGGAGGAATAGGTAAGTGCCTTAATGAGGATACATGTGATTAATTATTGGTTATACGTACATATATTGAATTTCCTAAATAATTGTACCTATGTGGGGCAAAAAAAAATCTGATTTCTGAACCTGAGCTTAGTAAATCAAACCGTTTAATATTTATATATCTACTAGCTGTCCCGGCAAACGTTGTTTCGCCATATACTCGTATATTATTTCTAGAAAATATTCAAAAAAAAATAGGGGTGGGTCACCCTTCTTATTTAGGGGTATGAAAAATAGATGTTGGCCGATTCTCACAACTAGATGTGCACACAAAATTTCATAAAAATCGGTCCAGCCGCTTTGGAGGAGTATGGTAACTAACATTGTGACACGAGAATTTTATATAAAAGATTTAATACTACATATTTTATATTTTCTCACGAAAGCATTTTTATCAAGTAAACAATTGTAATTTTTTATACGTTTTGTTAAAATAACTACTTGTTAAAATAAATAACTACTACTACTAAAATAACTTACAGTCCCGACAGTGGTTTTTGGCGTGAAGCGACTTCTCAAATAACTGTCAGATGCAGCTCTAGATATCTGTACTAACTTAATTGAGTTATAATTTTAATAAAGTTAAACAACTTTGTCGTGCAACTAAATACATTCCCTTGCTAAGAACTTAAATATTTTTTTCAGGTAATTGCACCGCACCAAACACCTGTGAATGCAAAAAAGGCTATACGTCCAGCCCTCAGGGTTCATGCAAGCCCCACTGCGATCGTTGCGGTACTTTCTCTCAGTGTGTAGCCCCCAACGATTGCCAGTGTCTCCCTGGATATTCAAAGAATCAACAAGGTCATTGTATTCCACAATGTGCTAAGTAAGTGTTATATCAAAATAATAAGAATTGTAATGTCTTGCGTAGTATATTTCGTTATATTTCGCTATAATATATACTTGGTTATAAAGGGTAAGCATATGTAAGGTAGATGGACCATGAACGGCGGTTTTTATTTCATTATATACTAAATAAATGAAGCAAATGAAGTATTACTAACTTTCTAATTGTTTTGCAAACAAACCCAGTAAAAGAGTCAATTGTTTAACTTAAAAGTAACGTTGTGACAGTCAAAATATTTACTTACACTTAAAAACAGAAAGAGGTATTTAATTAGAATAACTATGTATTGAAATAAAATATTAAATACTAATCATTTTAAACTCTGCCTATGAACCTTTTCATTATATACATACTCGTATGTATATCGTATTGGTAACTATTACGGCTAAAGTATTTAAGATTTTAAAGTCTAAAATGTATGTAAAATGTATTACATCTGAAGTGGCGCTCATATTGCAAATTATCAATGTAAGATGTCTTATTTTTCAGTAACTGCCTACCAAACGGAAGATGTGTAGCTCCAAATAAGTGCGACTACCCGATTACCACTACAACTACAATTAAACCCATCGGCCAATACCCTTACGGAGTACATAATGTGCCTCTATATCCTAATGCCTACCCAAATACAACAAGAGCTCCAAACTCTGCAGGCCAGCAATATCCTGGTAACCAACAATCGAACTATCCTGGAAATCAACAATCGTACTATCCTGGCTATCAACCAGGCCAATCTTATCCAGGCTACCCTAATAATCAGAATTCAAACTATCCTGCAAATCATCCTTCTAATACCCCAGATCAACAGACTAACAAACCCAACTCTCAGCCTATATATTACAACCCTGGCCAACAACCTAACAACTATCCTGGCAGTCAACAAGGCTATTATGACCAACAGCATCCCGATAACCCAGATAATCAACAATCCAATTCAAACCTACCTTCGGCTAATTCTAACTATCCCGCTGGACAATATTATCCCACAAATCAGTACCCCGGCAATCAACACTACTATCCGCAGTATCCGAATCAACAACAGGGTAATATCCCCAGTAACAACCAGTATTCAACGTATACCTCTCACCAACAAGGACAGCAAGTATACCCAGATAGTCAAGTTGAAAATTTTGAGACATTATGTTCGAAGCCTTGTATTAATGGCAATTGTATCGGAACTGACAAATGTGTTTGCAACGACGGGTACATTCTCGATGAATCTGATCCAGCAGTCAGTAGGTTCGTAAATATGTGTTTAAATAAAAAAAAACCTTAAGTTTAATAGAAAAATATATACATATATTTAAGATAGAATGTTAGATAAAAAAATCAGCAAAACCAAAGGCAATTTTCTTTTCTTGTCTATAAGTCATAGAGTATTTAAAGTAGAATGGAGAAAGAAGCTTAGGTGCACATATATTTTCTTTAATACATGAAAGCTCAATTCGCCTTGTTAGATATTTATAGCAGATATTTACTATATAATTAACTTAAATTGATTTGATAAATATCTAACTACTATACTAGGTAAATACTATTTACATGGATAGGTGCTCTGTCTACGGTATATGTATAATATTAACGGTACATACCCATGTTTTATTTCAGATGTAAACCACACTGCGCAGGCGGTTGTCCTAATGGAGTGTGTTCCTCCCCAAATTTCTGTATATGCAACCAGGGATATTACAAGGACCACAGCGTAAAGGGCCGTGCTAACTGTGTCAAACGCATTAGACGATCTGCCCCCGTGGCAAATGTCGCCGACCTCCTAGTCTTTGAAATACCTGACTATGATATTGAATTGTGATAAAGTATTTTCAGTCATTCGGAAGTGCAAGTACAAATTGCATCGGGCATCTAATGTAACCTAATGAATTGCAGTAATAAAATATCTTCGTAATAAATACACTAGTATTATTATTTTTATTCTTTTTCCAATTGTGAACATTGTGAAAATCAAAATTCAGTTTAACCCTGACGCATAAAACGTAGAATATACGAAGAATAACATAATTATACCTAATAAGACTAGTAGGTACTTTAATAAATTTTATGGTACACTTAAACAAACACAAAGGGTAGTTAAACAAGAGCAAATCAATCAAGGTGATTTCAAATTATTCAGTATATCGGCAAATTGTTCCTTGATTGCCTTCTCCTTTAAAAATGAAAATACCGACACTACAAAATTTAATCATGAAATGACAGGAACTGAAAAACCTCTTGTCAATGCAGGTATTCATAATTTTATTGTTTTTGAAGAATATTGGTTTTGGTCACAAACTAAATCGCCGAAACAAATATGTAATTGTGTAAAAATGAGGCAATAATTACTTCAAAAACTTTCAACAATGTATTACATATGATGTCTCTGTCCTTAGGGAACTCTCAAGTATATATATATATATATATATATATATATATATATATATATATATATATATATATATATATATATATATATATATATATATATATATATATATATATATATATATATATTTATATATATATATACGGCACTTTAATGACTCAAATGACTGCAAGGCTGGAGTAGTGGCTTACTACTGCGCTGAGTGTTATGGCTTGGATCCCCACATGGCACAACCACTTTGTGTGGTCTACAAAGTGGTTGTCCCATGTGTAAAGTCCACACAGGAATGTGTTCCTAATGCGGTAGTTGTCTTTTAAAAAAAAGAGGTGGTTTGGCAATAGGTCGACCGCTGGCCATAAAAGAAACCAGGCTGAAGCCCTTTCAATATTACGCATTACGATGACATCTATCAAATATTTGGAAACGGACACCATGATGATAAAGATGTTGGTAATAATTCATATGTTTCGTTATAAGAAACATATAAGGGAAATGAATTATCAAATTATTAAATTAGAGTGCGATCTAAATATTTTTATACAAAGAACGAACATCAAAACTCATTTTTATGTAGCTCAATTTATCTGATTCTATTTTAGATAGCGCTGTGCAGTAATAAAATTGAAGATTCTTATTGTTATTGTTATCAGCCAGCACAAATAACCGTTTATGTCGTGCAAAAAATATCAGTAACTTAAAAATCCATCGCTGAAAATTTTTATAATAATCGAATATAATACATCGAATAAACAAGTACTGTAGCTATCATTTAGTTTGATTTAAATTCATTTAGATAATGTAGAAATTACTTTTTAAGTATTTGACATTTTAAAAGTCTGCTTAGATTGTCTATGTATATAAAATAATAGCTCAGTATTCAAGGGTTTCAAATATGTTATAAAGAAATACAAATATTCAGATGACATTTCTTTGTTATATATTTATTTACACTCCAAGTTATCCTTTCTTTTTGAATAATGGACTCGTTGATCAATGTTATACCCAGTTAGCTCGTCATCTGAAATCATATTTAGAATTTAAAATGTTATTTTATTTTAACAAAAAGTAGGGAAATCGTTATAGTAAATAATTGTTTATTAATAAATTTTAATAAAAGACAAATTTATTAGATGTACATTAGATGACGCCCACGTCCAGCAAAAGACAAGAAAACAGATAATGATGATAATGGATAATTTAATACATATTTATTATGAAATAAAAGAAGAAAATTTATTGGCACATGTAAAATTCTTTACAAAAACTGCCAATAGGTCAGTAGCTCAGCATACTGTTGGATGGCCAAAGTGCCTTCCAACGCTGATTTTCAGCTCAACCCATATCACTGGATGTTGTCACCTCGAAACCATTGAAGTGTGTAATTGTATATGTGTGTAAATATATATGTTGTATACCGGGAACTACCTCTGAACTGTTCTGTGTCGTGGGATAGAGAGGATAGTCGTCCTGCCCCAACCGTATCCCGGTTTGGCCAGGCTAGTCTATTGTAAAGGTAAGATGGAGTTTATGTTTTTATAAATCCGAACAAAAATTGCCTTCATTTAAAAAAGTTGCGGGAGTTCAAAAATGGTGTTATGTGACGGAAAAACAGATTCGCTCTGTTTTAGATAGTAGTCTCTCGCCGTATACTGCATCAGCGTTATTAAGTTTCGATGAAACCAAAGACACGACAAGTAATATGCGCAGCTCTTCCGTTAAGTAATTATTATATACGTATAAATAACCTATATACTCGTATATGCAATTAATTTGCTAGTTATCATTCATAAATTAAATATTATTTATTCATAAATATTTCTGAAAATCTATGGTACCTTCAACAACATAGCTTCTCCCTCTTAAATAAATTATAATTGGTTTCCGGCGCAATACAATTATCATGACGAGCATAGCAAATAATAGCAATAAAACTGTTAACAAAACTGAAGCCCAATGTTGCTCCACCCTGAAAAATAAACAGTTCTTAAGTTACTAAGCTTTTTAGTATAATTAGAGATGAAAATAATTTCGTTATATTATGTGTAATTCAAAATCATCCTACCACGTTTTACCCGCTCCATTGTGAGTGCTTTCCGACGGGTCTATTTTAACTGTTTTTGTACTATTTCCTTTAGCAGTAGTTACATGGTTTTCTTCAGTGTATTGCCGAGTAGTTGACAGGGAAGTTGATATGGGATTGGTCGACCAAGAAGTGGTTGTTCGAGGAGTAGTCCACCAAAAAGCAGTAGACTGAGAAATGGTTGTTCGGAGAGTAGACCAAAAAGCATTATCATGAGAAGTGGTTGTTCGAGGAGTAGTCCACCAAAAAGGAGTAGACCGAGAAGTAGTTGTTCGAGGGGTAGTCCACCTAAAAGCAGTAGAACGAGAAGTGGTTGTTCGAGGGCTAGTCCACCAAAAAGGAGTAGACCGAGAAGGGGTTGTTCGAGGAGTAGTATACCAAAAAGCAGTAAAACGAGAAGTAATTGTTCGAGGGGTAGTCCACCAAAAAGCAGTAGAACGAGAAGTGGTTGTTCGAGGAGTAATCAACAAAGAAGCAGTTGATCGAGAAGTGGTTGATTGAGGAGTACTAAGACTTGTAGTGGTTGACAAAGGGCTAGTTGTATACTTAGACGTAGGTGTAGTAACTGTTGATGTAATACAAGTATTCGGAGCAACGCACTCTCCTGCGCACACGCCTTTGCATGACGGTATACATAAAAATCCATTACTAGTAGCTTGTGATGAAAATTTCGTTATATCGATTTTGTATCCTCGGAAACATTCGCATACATTTGGCAATATGCAAGTCCCGTTACCACATGAGTGGTGACATTCAGGATGACAGATACCTCCTTTATGCTTATAACCAGGATCACAGTCAGGTTTACATATTTTTGAACCATCAATATTGATAGGTTCTAAATGGAAACCGGGATTGCATTGACAAGTTTCAGGTGATATACAAAATCCATTTATACAGCCGTTGGAGCACTTAGGTTCACAGGTCCCATTGCCAGACTTTATGTACCCAGAGATACACTCAATGTCTTTGTGCTGTATTTCAGTGCAGACTGCATGGCTAGTTGTATGTGTCAGTTCATAACCACTGAAACACTTGCATGTATTCGGTTTATCGCATATTCCATGTCCGCAATCTAAATCACATACGGGCAAACAAGCAGTACTCGGATCAAGGCCTCTAATGTATCCTGGCAAACATAGACATTTTTGAGGCGCTTCGCAAAGTCCGTTCTGACAAGGTGGGTCGCAAATTGGTTCACACTTAATGTCACTGGAAGTTTAAGCAGATATTATTATACTTCCTGTAAATAAATTGCAGGAGATTGCATTGAAACAAGTCCTTGATTCTAGCGGGAACACTCAAATGTCGGACACTTGAGTTAGTGGTGTCCATAGGCGACGGGAGTCACTTACCATCAGGTGACCCGACTTACATTTATCCTCCATATCATAAACAAAAAACTTATTTTTGCAGTTTGTAAACTAAGAAAACGGGAAAGAAATGGCGTAACGTTTGAGTTTTGCCTAGCTTTATATGCTAATCACACGTTCTGCAGTGCTATTCTCTAAGTAAACAGCCTTGCGTACAGCGCTGCCACAGCGTCGAACTTCAAACTAAGTTCGTTTGAAATTCGACGCTGTACGTCGAAATTCAAACAGTTTCCTTAGAGAATAGCACTGCTGTTCAAATTTCAAAGCTTTAACATTAAAGTACTTTTAAAAAAAGTAAAAAAAGTACTTTAAAATCGCGATGATCTGTAAGTAACAAAATTTAGAAAGTTTGACCTGTTTTCAAACTACAGGTTCAAATCAAATGTAACTTTTAATACACTGAAAACTTAGACCTTTAGCTTTTACAAATATATCCAGCATATCCTTGAGAAAAGGATGCAGCTGTGCCTTTTGTTTTTTTTTGCAGTACGAACGCGGCTCATAGTATTTAAAATGATCCACAATTGAATTCGCCCATGCTTTATGAACTACTACTGTACTTACTCTTCATTAGTGTTATTTGAATTCAAGTTATCGATTTGTGAATACCCAGGACAACAGAAGTACACGGTTTTATTTTCTACTTGCTGAAAAAAAAAAGTATTAGAATATGAAAGTGGTAGTTATTGGTCCCATATTTATAAGAAGTTTTAGTGTAAGTTTGAGTTGAAAGTTTAAAGTGTAATGCTGTTGGTCGTATAAGAAACAAGCTTGCGGGACTGTAACAATTCGATTACTACTCCTTTGATGATGCCCTTGCACGTTTCGATTCAATAATAAGAATAATTAATTTCATTAAATAAAAAAGTAAACAGTTTAAGTTTTTAATAAATTATTTTAAATGTTGAGGTTTTGCACTGATTGTGCTCAAATTATGACACGGTATACAACCCGCTTCCAAGATGTTTTTTATATATGTTTTGTGTCAGTTTCGTTCTTCATTTCTCAACAATGCAACCACAATGTGCCACGGTGAAACGTGGCAGGGTACAGCTAGTTTTGCATAAAATCTGATATTAATGTAACTCGCACTTAAGAATGAAGTAAGGAATCAAGTGTATTTCGTTAATGTTTTCCATACTAATATGGAAATAATGAATATTGATCTCATCATCATCAACAGCCTTTCCTTTGCTGGACATACGCCTCTCCTTAGAAAGGACGTTTTGGCTTACCACACCACGTTGGGCAGACGGGTTGGTACAGGGTTTGTCTCAAGTCCTCCACCCGCATTAGTTTGGCCAGCCGCGAGGGGGCGGCGTCCGCGTGTGCCGGACGTCGCCTAAAGAGAGGAACAATTTTGAGACCGGGCCCGCAACTGGAGCGGGCCGGCGCTAGGAGGGGTCCGGATGTCTTAATAACAGCTGTTCCCGGATCCCTCCTGTTACAGGCGCAGAGTGGCACACCGTGTGGTTTTAGTCGGTCCGAGTCCGACACACCACCCCGCCGCAAACCCCGGTGGGGTGACGGTCCGAGGGGATTTCCACACGTTAAAAAAAAAAAAAAAAAAGGGTTTGTCTTAAGTTTTCCTTCCGTCCTTCCTCCTCCTTACCAAAAAACCTACCTCGGGCCACCTAGATGACCCCCTCCTGTGTGGGATGCCCCCTCCATGTCCCCTTTGTGCTCCCTAAAAGGGCGCGCGCGCTCCGCAACGCGTCTCACCACCATCCTGGCCTGCTTCTGCTCGGTGACCGATGGCCACACCTGGCACCCCCAGGCCTATGCTTATGGAGGAGGGAGGTCATTCTGCGACGCCCACGGGCCAGGTTAAGTGACGATTTGCGCAAGATGGCTGGCAGGAGCTGGATGCGAGAAGCCCAAAATCGATCTAAGTGGCGTGCAATGGGAGAAGCCTATGTCCAGCAGTGGACTGCGATAGGCTGATGATGATGATGAAGTGCATTGAGGTCAGTGTTACTTTTTTAAATTAAATTAAGTAATAGAAATTATTTGAGGTTTACCGGTTGATAGCGTGTCATCAGTTTGGAATTTGTCACAGTCTTGAGACAATTGTATGTTGTTTCTACGTATTCGTAGTAGTCATAATCGATGATGGTATTCTTTACACAAATAGCATTGTGTAATTCAGTGTAGGTTCGTACATATGATACTAGCTGAAGACTGTTGACACTGAAATAAAGCATTTATTTCGTTTAATTTTTAGCACGCTAAAAACCATTGATTAACGTATGTTTTTATGAATCTTCTGGTACACTTGCACATTTCCATACAACATAGTTGTTATATTTAGTTAAGTTTTAATAATTGAGGTTCCGTTCTTCACGGGAAATAAAGGATAGTAACTCTTCCTTCTCCATCTATCTATCTGTCTATCTATCTATCTGATTAGGTCCATTATTTCAGGAACGCGTGGAAGTTAAAAAGATGAACTTAATATCAAATACTTAAGTCAGCGGTCCCTTTAAGCTGTAAGAAACCAAACTTCTATATTTTAGCATTTTAATATTATTTTGCCTTGAGAATAATGAAAATTAACGATATGCGAGAGGTCACAGTACAAGTAAAGGTAAAGAGCCGAAATAAAAAGAAGGAAGGAAGGTTCTGCGATTACAAACATTTTATTGAGATGTGAAAGTTAGATTTTTTTATTAATACAAAAACTAGTACTTGTCAAAATTACTTACACTTTTTCTTCCGAACAAACTTTAGAATCTGCTTTTACTAAATACAACACCATAAATAAACAAAAGACTGTATATCCGAACATTTTACGTAGGTACATAAAAAATAAACAATTATCACAAGCGTTCGAGAGAACAGTCTAAATTTAACTGTCTGCCACATTTGTGATATGGAAATCAAGGTTACATACAAGTCAGGATACCTAACAGGAAGTTGGATACATTAGGGTAGTAGTAGTAGGGTATACATGGTACACACACTGACATTACAGGGTTTTCACTCATATGAATATTTAAAGATTTATCAATTTCTCTAAGCACACTAAGTACTTACTGTTTAATTCACTCAGAAAAAAAAAAAATGTCTTATTGAATACTTACAAAATTTATTGGAATTTCAAGAATTAATAACTACAATTAGGTCATGAAATAATGTAGGTACCTACTGTTACCTTAAAAAAATCGGTAAGTCAGCACAATTATTTAGTGTTTTAAGAAACCTTGCAAGTATGGGGGTCCGGATGTCTTAATAACAGATGTGCTCAGGTTTTAGTGGGTTCGGTCCGACATACCGCCTCGCCGCAAACACGGGTAAAGGCGTTTCATTGTTTATGTATAATTACCATAGACGTACAGCAAATATATACTATATATATCAAAATTAAAGTTTTATAAACTAAAAAACACGTTTTCTATAGAAAGCGTGTTTTTTTTTAATTAGTGTATTGTCATCGGTCCTCGATATATCTACAAAGTTTGAACGAATTCTGGCCGTTTAAAGTCAGTCAAAATCACGCCCAAAGAAGTCGGTTACAAACATACAAACAAACATACAAGTGAAGCTAATATAAAACGTGTAAAAAGAATACCCGCCATCATTACAATAACGTAAGGTAACAAAGAATAAATAGATTAGAGCACTTGTCTTATACCAGAAATTTGAATAACAGTTTCATTATACATATAATATATTTATGGGGCAAAAGAGCTCTCCGCCTGCAATCAGTACTGCCATGCTTGCAGGTGAGAAGGGATGGGGCACAGTGGTCTCTTTGTGTGAAGCTATAACGCTAGAGAAAGACACTGCTGAACGGAATCGGAAGAGGGCCGATCCCAAACGAAGAAGACATCGGCGGCGGTGACATTATTAGTGATAGGCGGGGCCTAGTTAGGTGCAGCGTCGATCCTTAAATGGGGCACCTTAAATTTACTTGGTCCGGGTCCTCACCGAAGGGCCTGAGGCCGGGCCGTCTGGATGGTGTTTCGTGGTAACACCACATACCTGCGTCCCCTGCCGGTGTTGGCGGGTGTACTTCCGGTCGACCGAGGTGACCGGTCCGAGGTGCAAAGACGTGCAGCCATGTACTGTTCAACACAGAAAACATGAAATGCGATTTTTGAGGCTCATGAGATCGCGATAAAACCACAAATTTGCTTTAACAGCAGTCTGATGTCTATAATGACCTCATAGACGAATGGCAATAACGCTGGGACGAATCATCTAAGGGGCGCCAGCTTTACCAGTTATTTCCATCTGTTCGATCTGTTCGGTGACAATACGAAAATTAAATCGCAAAACTACGGTACATGCTTTTTCCTCTGTTATCGTGTCTAACGTCATCCTACAAAATTAAACATACTTTAATTCCCAAAGGTTTTTTCGCTCAATAGCAACTATGCAACTGCCACTGTTTAAAACTACTAGGGAGTATGCCTTGTGATTATTGGTTGTAATGTCGATCATCCTTAATATAATAATTTCTCGTAAGCCTCCATGTTTTGCCAAGTGCTTTGAAAATCAAACGCTACTAGATTTGTTGCAGCATCCAACCATCACGAGTAAGGTTAAATGAGAGAAGGGTAGGTTCTCAAGGACAAAGTTAAACAAAGGACAGTTCGAATATACGTCATTCGATTCACGCTTGGTTTTACTTTGACAGATCAAATTATGAGTGGTGTGGTCTTCGTAGTAAGACGGTAGAAACATATTATTGTAAGTTTTCAAATCTTGTTGTTTCAGGGAAGTTGAAAAGCTTGTATTCCAAAGAGTCAGAGGTAAGACTTCAAATTATGGCTTGGAAAGATGTGGCTTTGATTAGAGATATATATATGTATATAATTTTTATTAAGTAGTATTTATCATGAATGAGTAACATTTTTCTATGTAACAAAAGCGGATGTTTCATCACTGTTACTGTGCGGTATCTTCTTGATAGATTTTTGTCGAATGTTTTACTATTGCCTGTTGTGCTGTTATCGGTCAATAACATTTAAAATGTTGTGACTACGGTTCCGTAGCTGAGATTTCTTTCAAACAGCAGTAGTACGGAGAATCATTTCTGTGAATGAAAAAGTGTCCTTCAAAAACCGTCAAATTATGGCGGCACCCCAGCAGCAAATGGGATAATTTTAAACATAGCAGAAAAAGTTGTTAGATTAGCATAGAGAAATAAACACGGTAAGAATAAGACTGTCTAATATTCTTATTGTCTTAAAAAAGTTAACACAGAACTAGACTGTGAAAACTCTTAAGACGTGTTTTACAGACACTCAAAGGATTTTAACTCAGCACAAAGTTGAAAAAGTGTAATTCTGTTTACTAAAAATATGAACATAAAAACTACGATATGAACATAGCTAGGTATGCTCGTTTGTCGGAGTAAAGTGCGCTAAGTTCAAATATTTAAGAAATTTCAGAGAGCAGTTAGTAAAATGCCAGTATACAAACCCTCAACTATTTACGTGATTTTATTAGTCTCTCTAATTCTAATTTGACTTTCTAATTTTGACTGCATGAATGGCGTAGTTTGTGTGATCCACAAATTGTTGTTCTGAGTCTGAATGTTCTTTGTGTCCGTTTCATGTATGTTTGTAAAGTCCCCCGCGACTCAGGAATATATTCCTAATGCGGGCGTTTTTGCGCTTTTCATTAAAATTAACCTACCGCAGCGCCACCCTTATTGGACGCGTTTTACGGACACTTTTCATACACAGAGATGTCTCTCCTTGCCTCCATATCGCTAACGTAGACGTATCTAAAGTATCACGTCTAAGTTAGCTTCCTTTAAATTTTTTTTTAGGTTAGCCGACGAAAGTCTTTTGACCTGAAACAATATTTTTTTGGAAAAATACATAAAATTATGTTTTTTCCAGATATCATCCGAAAAAACTGCATCCATTATGATCTTTGGTGTAAAATATTTGTAATTTCATTCATATCAGTAGACATGACTTTTATTTATTTATTAATAATAATAACTTTTTTGCTCTCTCACACAGACTGCTACATAGGTGGGAACCTGTGATAGCTTAAACTAGCAGTAGTAATTAGTATAATTACAGATTATTATCTATATGAGAGACTAGTGTCTGTACGTCTGTACTAGAGATCCATATGACAGATTACCAATCTCTCCAGACTCTGGACAGTTGGATTCAGGTAAGTAACATTATATTACTATGCATTAAATGTGTGTAAATTCATTGGGTTGCGTGGATGTGCATTCACGCGCGTATGCAGGGACCTTCATCAAAGAAAGATGGCTAATATATTCTAGCACGAAGAGGACCATCATGGCCAACGGCCCATTGGCCGTTAGCCATCATGCCATCGTTCAAATATCGGAGGTAGAAACAGCGCCACCGCCAACGTTTGGGTACATTTGAAGGTTTTCTAGCCAAGCACCCCTTTAGCGTCATCTTTACTAGCTGTTTAGGCTTCTTCTTTGGTTAAAGAAAAGATATAGGTGGACTGTATAAGTATATAATAAAAAATGAAGGCAGTACAATGTTGGTTAAAGTTAAGCACGCGCGTCGCTCGTTGTTCGGTCGTGGAGTGAGTTAGTGACAGCTCGCGACCGTCGCCGTCGGTCACACCGAGCCCTCCGCGCGCCTCCCAGCGAGGGGCACGATTCATGCGCTGGGTGCGTGAACATACTCCCCGGGTTGAAGATTTCAATCTAGAGGAAGTGGACAAATATTATTAAATGATCGCAGAAGCGTCCCTTTCTTCGACTTCAGCTCGACCACGCGTGTAGTTCCGTCGCTTCCCGGAAAGACTTTAGTGACACGTCCGAGTGGCCACAGCAACGGCGGTTGTCCCCGCTCTCTCACGAGAACCAAAGTTCCTTCTAAAAGTTGTCCCGTTGATGTAGGCCATCTTGTCTTTTGCTGGAGCAGAGAAACATACTCTAAGTGGAACCGCTTCCAAAAATGTTGCTTAATGTGCTTCACTCTGTGGTAGCGCTCCAAACGACTGATGCTGGTTTCAGCCACCTGTGGATGCGGAACCGTCATAAGTGATCGTCCAATTAAAAAATGAGAAGGAGTAAGGGCGTTAAAATCTAATGGATCAGAGGAAAGTGGAGTAAGGGGCGAGAATTAAGGACAGCTTCAATCTGAGACAAACATGTGATCATTTCATTTCGTATGTGAAATGGGTGGTAGGTAGGCCTTCAGGTGATGCTTAATAATAATAATAATAATAACCTCTTAACGGTAACGGTGACCTCTTCGGGGAAACTGAAGGTTTTGTCTTTGCAATTACTGATGAAGTTGTTATGACGAATAATTATCGGAAGTATATCCTAAAGGACGGCACAATAGACATTTGTCGGGCATGTCATTGTCCTGGTGAAAGCCTTAGACATATAATTTCCGGTTGTTCTCGTCTTGCCAACGGCGAGTACTTGCATAGACATAACCAAGTGGCCAGGATTGTCCATCAGCAACTTGCTCTTAAGTATAGCCTTGTGACTGTAGAGTTACCGTACTACAAATATGTGCCCGACCCAGTTCTTGAAAATGGTCGTGCAACGTTGTACTGGGATCGCCCTATTATCACTGACAGGACTATAGTTTCCCAATAAACCTGATATAGTGGTAATAGACCGATTGGAGCGCCGAGCAATGATTGTTGACATTACCATTCCACATGACGACAATCTCTTGAAAGCTGAAAAAGATAAACAAGTGAAGTATTTGGATTTAGCCCACGAGATTGTCGACATGTGGGATGTTGATTCGGCAATCGTTGTACCGATAGTCATATCGGCCC